GTTTGACAGCATCCTTGACTACAAAGTGAACTGGAGGCCAGCCTGGGCTATCGGAGTACATGAAACCCATCTCAAAAAAAAATAGAAAAACATAAAAATGTTCAAAAGCAGACCATGCATGAAGAACAATGTGTGTGCATTAAGCCAGCTCTCATTTCACTTGATAAACAATTACCTAAGAGACTGCTCGATCAGCTTTGAACTCCAAGTGTCACACAAGCCCCATCTGTGGGCTGAGGGACTTTTCTCTGTAGCCCACAGCTGCATTCCTTGCTGGCCTCAGAATTCTCAAAATGTCTAATGCTCAGCTGGTAAATCCTTGCTATACAAGCATTAGGACCTGAGCTCAACTCTCCATAATCCAAGTGTTACAAAACAAAACAGACAAAGCCCCTCAGGTACAGTAGTGCATAATCCCAGCAAGAAAAAGACAAAGACAAGAGGATCCCTGGAGCTCACTGGCCAGGGTCAGGGCGCTCCAGAAGACACCTCGTCTCAAAAACATAAGGTGGCTTCTACACATGTGAACGCACAGCCACATATACAGGTACATGCATGCATGTATGCATGCACACGCACCAACACACGTACCTACTCATGCACATGCACACACACTCAGGCATGCACACACACAGTCTGAAAGCATGCTGGCTTCCCTTCCAATTCTCCTTTGTCCCTTGGATTTCCCAGGCTCCCCTGTGCTTCAGGCCACCTTGAGAAAACCAGAGCTCCTTGCTCCCTCTGAACCTTCTACCCACAACCCCACAGCTGCCTCAGGCCTGTACAATGTACAGCATCCACTGGCAGCATCTGGTTTTGGCATTTGGTTCCGTCTCCCATATAGCAATGCTCCCAGCTGCCCTCACCAACTCTTCTCTGCTAGACTCACGGCAAATCCAAGAGCAACATGAACCCTTCAACTATCTGTTCTGATCTGATCTTGTCCCTTCCTCCTCTCCCCACAATCTGCAGAATGAACTTCACATTCTCTAGGGCAACATTCAGAGCCATCATATTGTGGCACACACGAGTCAAATGGCAGCACTCTGGAGGCAGAGGCGGGAGTGTCAATCAAAGTTTGATACTCTATGCAGCCTTATAACTACGTAGAGAATTCCAGGCCATTTTGGGCAGGTCTCTGTCAAAAACCACCAAAAAAGAATTTGAAGATCTGTGTTCTCTCTCCACCACATTCTCCTCCACCCCAAAGTCTCTCCTCACCCAACCTGAACTCTGTGTATGGATGTAGATGCAGAAGTGGGTGTGGGCATGTGTGTGGAAGCCAAGGGGTTATACTAGGTGTCTTCTTCCACAAGCACTCTCCACCGTGTAATCTCGGTGAAGATGGATTTTGTGTCTGTGTGCCAGTATCCATGGCAGCCACAAGATGGGTCCCAGGAGTTACAGACTTCTGTGAGCTCCCTGATGTGGGAGTTTTAAGAGAGCAGCAAGTGCTTCTTCTTCACCACTGAAGCATCTCTCCAGCCCTGGCCACCTTATTTTTTGAGATAGGATCTCTCTCCCTGAACCTGGAGCTCAACATCACCAGGACAAGCTGGCAGGCAGGCCCCTGGGACTGACCTGCTGTCTCTACCTTCCCACTTGTTACAGAGGTTCTGGTGACCCACACTTATTCTCAAGCTTGAGTGTAAGCACTTGACCCACTGAGTCAGCTCCTCAACCTCCAGCTACATTCTCAATTAACATTTATTTATTGGGGGCTGGAGAGATGGCTCAGCGGTTAAGAGCACTGACTGATCTTGCAAAGGTCCTGAGTTCAATTCCCAGCAACCACATGGTGGCTCACAACAATCTGTAATGGGATCTGATGCCCTCTTCTGGTCTGTCTGAAGATAGTGATGGTGTACTCACACACATAAAATAGACGAATAAATTTTAAAAAAGATTATTTCTTTTGGTGCTAGGGATGGAACCCAGATCCTGACTGTGCTAGGCAAGGCTCTATATCTGGCCCATGCCCAAACCCCTCGCTGGCAGACCACTAAATTACATCTGAGCCCAATTGAAACACCATGCTTTGATGTGCCCAACAGAGAAAATACATTCTTAATTCCTACAGCTTTCTATCTATCCTTCACAAAATTCTGCTAAAATCCTTCCAGTCCCCAGAGCTTTGGTGTAGCTTTGTGGTGTTGAGTAACTTACAAGCTAAAAGAAAAGTGGTGGCACATGCCTTTAATCCTAGCACTCAGGAGGCAGAAGCAGGAGGATCTCTAATTTTGAAGTCAGCCTGGTCTACATGTACAGAGTAAGTTCCAGGACAGCCAAGGCTACACAGAAACCCTCTGTCAAAAAATAGAAACACAAACAATAATAATAATTTTTGTAAAGCTAAAAGAAACTCTTTTTGCTTTGTTTTTTTTGTTTTTGTTTTGTTTTTTAAGATTTATTTATTTATGTTATATATATGACTACACTGTCACTCTCTTCAAAGACACCAGAAGAAGGCATCAGATCCCATTGCAGATGGTTATGAGCCACCATGTGGTTGCTGGAAATTGAACTCAGGACCTCTGGAAGAGCAGTCAGTGCTCTTAACTGCTGAACCATCTCTCCAGCCCAGTTTATTTGTTTTTTAACTTATTTACTTTTGAGACAAGGTCTCAGGTACTCCAAGCTGGTCGTGAACTCATCAGGTACCTGAGGATGACTCTGAACTTCCTCCTGCTTCCTCCTGCGTGCTAGGACCACAGGCCTGAAGCAACATACTTATGCAGTGCTGGGGATGAACCTAGGGCTTTGAGCAAGGTATGCAAACACTCTACCAACTAAGCTATATTCCCAGTCTCTAAAACAATTAAGTTAGCACTCACTTAGTGAGACAACCGATGGCACAAGACCAGCATTAATCTGCTCATGAGTGAAGCCCCCAAAGTGAATGACCTCTTTAAAACACATACATACATATATACACATATACATGTATAAACAGACACACATATGGATTTACTACTGTATGTTTGTATGCCATATTCAGAAGGGTGCCAACGGGGACTAGAAGAGGGCACTGCATCCCCTGGAGCTGGAGTTACAGATGGCTGTGAGCTGCCTGACATGGGTTCTTAGAACTGAATTAGGGTCATGTGCAAGACCAGGAAGTGTTCTTAACCACTGAAGCATCTCTCTACCCCTAGAGTCCACCCCTTAAAGGCTGTACAGAACAAGGAGAACACTGGAGACCAGGTTCAGTGTATGCACATCTTTGGGTGACAATGCAAGGCCCTCAGAACCGGCTCTATCTGCCTTGTGCCCACATTCCCAGCCTCTCCACAGTCACCTCAGTTGTTCTAGCCAATATGGCTACATTTACAGCAGCTGGGCCCTCCCGCTAGCAGCTTCCTGACTATGCAAATGTTGACACTAGTTCCCGCTTTCTCCGCTTTCTCCCGCTCTTCTGACTCTACAGTTTGTCTTACTTTACAATTCCTTAGTCTTACTTTGCAGCTGGCCTTGGCCATCACTTCCAGAAGCCCTCCTGACCCTACCTCCCTCCCTCCTCCTGGAGAGGGGTTTACCTCCTGACTTACCTCAGCTCTCTACACATATCATGACACTGTGTCACTAACTGGTGCATGCCTTTCTATCCAAGGAGCTGCCAAAAAGACGGAGATTGTGTCTGGCACTCAGCAGATGTTTGTGCAAACAAAGAAATGAACATTTCTGGTTCAAATGCAGTGATAGTGACCTGTTTCTCTAGCCTATAAAACATTGGTTTGTTGGTTGTTTTTTGGTTTTTTGTGTTTTTAGTTTTGAGATAACAGCTCCCTGTGTAGCCCAGGCTGGGTTGGGATTCAGTACATATCCCAGGATGGCCCCAAACTCATGATCCTCTTGCCTCAGTTTATTGAATGCTGGGATTACAACTTACAAAACCTTGTAATGGTGAACTGGCTACATACCCCAGACTAACCTCAAACTTGCAGTTCTGCCTATGTCTCCTGAGTATGGGATGGCAGGCAACCATCACCTTGTTAGGCATATTTTCTTTTTAATTTATTATTATTGTGCGAGTACAGCCTTGTGTTTGAAAAGGAGGGGTGTAGAAGTTGGGGAGATGGCTTTCAAGAATCCAGTCTCTCCTTCTACCATCCGATCTGGGGATAGAACTCAGGTAGTCGGGTTTGGGCAGCAAGGGATAAAGTGTTATTTCTTAAAAAAAAAAAAAAAAAAAAAAAAAAAAAAAAAAAAATTGGGAGGGGCCAAGAAGGCTTGGCAGGTAAAGGCACTTAATGACAATCCTGACCACCTGACTTAGATCTCCAGAACTCACCTAGTGGAGAGAAGTGACTCCTGCAAACTGCTCTGTCACCTCTACACGCACACAAATAAATGTTTTGTATTTTAAGTAATAATTAAAAAGATAAAATAAATGTTCCGAAGTGCTGGGGCTTGAACTCAGGTCTTGTATGCTGGCTAAGCACTTTACCAAAGCTGTTTCCAGCCCATAAAGCATGTCTAAGGTGGGACACAGCCTCTAAGACTGGTTAGGCAGAGGCAGTGCTGGCAAGGAGCCAAATGAATGTATTTGCAACAGCTGGCAATCAACAATCAACTCCCAGGCCTCATTCCACCCCTGGAACCCCAGAACCCCCATTCATGCAGCCTGCTTCATCATGTGTATGTCTGTGTAAAGACATGTGCGCATGTGCACAGATGCAGGGTGGGGGGCTCCTGGAAGATAGCAGACAGCCTGTGTTACAGTTCCTCAGGTTCCAGCAACCTTTGTTCACCCACCAAATAGATGGCTGACTGCCTAGCAAACCCCAGGGATTCACCTGTCTCCTCCCTAACATAAAACCGAAGGTACATACCACCATGCCAGGTTTTTTACCTTGGTTCTAGACAGCGAATCTTGACCCTCCTGCTTGCCAGACAAGCACCATGTAGACTGAGCCATCTCCCGTCAATGCCCACACCCACCTTCTCCTTTAAAAACCAGATTTCAAAAGCAGCAAGGTTAATTTCCCCAAGGCTCTCACCTCCTCTTCACTGAAGGGCTGGCACCAAACTGTCCCTTCTTGATGGAGGCACCAGATCCTCAGAAACAGTAACTTGTCTGAGCTCCCATCTTGATATGAATAGCAAACAAGAACCGGGCAGATCTGAGGGCTTGCTGACTCAGCCACACCAATTCCGAGGTACCTTTGCCAAAAAGATGATTAAGTCTTCAATGAAGAAACGGCATGAAAAAAAATGAGCGCACAGATGTTGGGTCCCGTGTGCTGTGGCTGGCGACTGGAAATTACCAGGCTTATTTTCCAACAGCCTGGGCAGGGAGCAGAAGGTAGGGACAGTCTTTCTCAGCCCACTCAACTAAACCCTTTCTCAGAAAAGTCCATACGAGGAGTTCAGAAACCAGTCCCACAAGATGGTCCATGAAGGAAATCAACACACCAGAGGGGATAAAAATTTGACCAAAGTCACACAGTAAATAAGCAAAGAGACTAGATACCTGAGCAGCTGAAGTCAATCCTGATTTTTTTTGGGGGGGCTACTGGAAAATCTACATCACAGATCTGTTACTTTCTGTTTTTGAGTAGGGTCCACAGTATATAGCCTAGGGCTGGACTGGAACTCCTGAGTCTCAAGCTTCTGCCTCACAAGTGCCGAAATTTCAGGCATAAATCACCACAAGTGGCTAACACTTTTGGGGGAGTTGTGAGGGGTGTAGTGTCTTACTACGAAACACAGGCAAGCTTTAACTACTACCCTCAAGCCCTAGTCTCCCAAATGCTGGGATTATAAGCGTGCAACACATCGCTGGGCTCTCTAGCACTTTAAAGGGGCTAAGACAGCATGGAGAAATAAGAGTTCCTTAAAGGTCTTGCCTGTGTACACATTCGTATTTATGCCACTGTGGAGGCAAAGCTAACGCAGGCAACGCTATCTGAGGGATAGGATGAAGAGCGGAGCTTCAAAACAGAGACACCCCAAAGTGCCCCCAGGGACCCAATTTGACACAGACCAAGAATGGAAAGGCAAACGCCTCCAAAGTCCAACTCTCAGACAGTGGTGAATCCCTATCGCCTGGATGTAGCGACACACACACACACACACACAAACGCTCCAGGACTGAAACTGTTCCCTCAGGGAACCAGGGTAGCAATAGCCTCACTGCTCTTCCAGGTCTTGTAGGACTCAAACTGCCAGGGATGCGACCCCCGTCTCTGCAAAAAGAGGGCTCTTACCACACCCAGCCCTGTCCCCAACGCTCAGATCGTCCCAACTGCGACTTCTCGCCTCCAGGACCCCAGTACCCAGGTGCCCAAGGGCTCCCAACGCCCCCAGGACTCACCCATCCCGCCGGCACGGCCCTCCCTCCTCGCACGACCGCCCCCTTCCGGTCTCAGCTTGGCTCAATAGCCCCCTCTCCTCAACCCACCCACCCACCTTCGGGACCCCAGCCTGGGCGCCAGCAGGTGGCCCGCCCGTCCCGCTCACCGAGTCTGAGGGAAGCAGAAGGAACAGGTTGAGAGGACCGCCGCCCTCCGGGCTCAGCTCCGGCTCGGCCTGGGAAGAACCCCCGAGTATATCTCCGACTCCGAGCGGGAGGCAGCCGGAGTGAAACTCGGCGTCGCAGCCTCCAAGCGCCGCGCTGCGCATGTCCCCTCACGCGGTGCCTTCTGGGAAATGTAGTTCTGGTGATCCTGAGTGGGCTGAACCAAAGCGCACCAGCAGATGTAAATGTAACCACCCATCCTTCTCTTTCTCCTACTGACTTACTCCTTCATTAACTAGTGATGCATTTGATTTTTAAATAATTTTTATATCTTTTTATTTTATGTGTATATTCTGGAGGTGGGTGTACTTACAAGGGTCAAAGAACAACTTTAGGAGTCCGTTCTCCGCGTCCACCTTCCTGTGGGTTCCACAGATCGAACTCAAGGTGTCAGGCTTGTCAACAAATGCCTTTACCCTCTGAGCCATATTGCCAACCCCTGATTTTTCTTTTTGTGGTGTTGAGGACCAAAGTTAATGCAAGCACATTAGGCAAGTGTTCTACTACTAATGAATCCCCAGCTGTAAGATTCACCTTTTAGGGGTGGAGAGGGTTCAGGGTCACAGGTACCTAAGAGTGGCTTTCAATTTGTTATGTAGTCTAGGCTGCCCTTAAACTCCTGAACCTCCTGCCTTTGCTTCCTAATTGCTGAGCTTACAAGCAAGGACTTAAGAGACTTAGTCGGGCGATGGTGGTGCACGCCTTTAATCCCAGCACTTGGGAGGCAGAGGCAGGTGGATTTCTGAGTTGGAGGCCAGCCTGGTCTACAGAGTGAGTTCCAGGACACCCAGGGCTACACAGAGAAACCCTGTTTCGAAAAAAAAGAAAAAAGAAAAAAAAAGAAACGTAGATTTTAAATTTTAAAATAAGAAAATAATCTATTAAAAAACGTTAAGCCTTGGCTTATGGTGGCATGGCTCACTGGTCAAGCACTTACCTAGCGAGTAGTAGGAGACCCTGGATTTGCAAAAGAAGTCCTTAAAATTCCACAGAGCCCGCTCCCAGCTCACCCAGCAGAAAAGATGAGCACAGCCAGAGAAGTGGAGGCCTGTCCTCAGCACTGCCACTGAGGAGCGAGAGTGCTTGCTACTGTTTTGCTTGGAAAGACAAAATTGTGTTGCTTCCTGCCTCTGCTAATTGGTCTCCCTCTGACTCTTCAGAGGGACAGTCTGATAAGACGCAGCCGCTGTGCTCATTATTTCTGATGAATGGGTGGCACCTGGCATTTCCTGGTGCCGATGGTAGCCACCCAGGACCCACATATAACTTACACAACCAGAAAGCTCCTTAACTTCACAGCCCCAAGGAAAACACGTCTGTCCCCAAAAGCTCTACATAAGTTCTTATTAGTGGAAGTAGGGGTTTTTTTTTTGTTGTTGTGGACACAGGGTGTTAATATAGCCTTAGCCTGACTTTAGAGATGGCCTACGACTACTGATCTTCCTGTCTTTACCTTCTGAGCACTGGGATTGCAGGTGTGTGCTGTTGGTCCCAGCTTTATGCAGTAGTGGGGAGGGGTGCATAAGGAATGGGGAGATCCAGGGCATCCTGCGTGCTAATTAGCGTTCTTCTAACTCAAGCCATTATCCCCAGCCAAGCATTGAATGAACTCCTGTCTGCCGATTCCATTTTGCAAGTACGAACTCACAGACTCTTGTTATTCTTTGTGCAAGGATGGGTCATGCCATAGCATGTACATAGATGACAGAGAATATGTCCTTCAGTTCTCTCCTGCCACCACATGCGTCCTGGGATCGAACCTAAGGCATGAGACTCTGTGACAAGTGTCTTCATCTGCTGAGCAAACCTTTTTGATGGTCTTGTGTTCATACTTAATTCACCTCTAAAGTTTGAGTGTAACTAGTCACTTTTTTTTTTTAAGACAACCATTCTCTATGTAGCCAGGCTGGCCCTGACCTCACTGTGTAACCAGATTGTTTCACCCCTCTAGCCTCATACTTTAAATTGTGTGCATAAGCACATAATTAAAACTGTGTTCTTTCTTCTAAATCTGCCTTAAGTCAACTGAATTCACATCCCAGCCAAATATCCTAAAAAAGTGGAGAAAACACCCCACCCTGTCTTTACATTCTTCTCAGTAAGAATGCAATTGCTCTCTGCCCCATGGATTGGCTTCTCACTACTTTGATGGTACCTCTTGGCCACACCTCCAGCCCATTTTTCTAATATCTAAGCCAATGAATTATACAAGACTTTTTTAAACACTTTTTATTCTTTATTCCCCTGCCTTCCTTCCCAAGTACCTTCTCCTTCTCTCTTTTCAAACCCATGGCCTCTTTATAATTTAGATTATATACATTATATATGCATTATATATTTACATATTTGCATATAGGTATGTATATAGTTATACAACTTACTCAGTCTAATGATACATATATATGATTTTAAGGCTTAAACAAGATTTTTGACATTTTCATCTTCTATATGACAATTTCCCATGTTTTAATGACTCATTTTCATTCACCTTCCCTTTCCCCTTGGCTTCCATGAAGCACAGGGGCAAAGTTTTCAGCCCACTCTTGAAGCGTTTCTGTAGGCTGTGCTTGAGGCCTTTGGGACAAAGTCAAATGTAGGAAGCTCCCAGCGACAATAGAGACAAAGGATGTTTGGGCAACACATATCACAATAACTTTCAGCTGCCGGCCAGTATCCTTCCAAGGCCCTTTGGGGTCAGAAGGGCCCATACTCACCTCAAACTCTGTGTAGATAAAAGTGAATTTGAACCCCTGACCCTCCTGCCTACTCAGAAGTAGAGGCAAGTGATCTCAGAGTTTGAGGCCAGCCTGGTCTATAAGAATGAGTTCTAGGATGGGCAGTGGTGGTGCATGCCTTTAATCTCAGCACTTGGGAGGCAGAGGTAGGTGGATTTCTGAGTTCTTATGTCAGCCTGGTCTATAGAGTGAGTTCCAGGACAGCCAGGGCTATGCAGAGAAACCCTGTATCAAAACAGGACCAAACAAAGGACCTTTCTCTGTGTGTGCACACATGTGGAGGTGAGACAACTTGCACAAATCTGGTTTTTCCTTCAGGCATATGGGAGCTAGGGATTGAACTCAGGTCCTCAAGCACAGAGCCATCATGCTAGCCCAGGTTACACATTTCATCTCTGAGTGATGACAGGTTAATCACTACCTTGCCATCTTTGATGTGTCTCTTGGGAACGCACTGCCAGGCCCTGAGTGAGCATAATCTACCTTCCTCATCAGTTAAGGGAGATCATATAGCAAAGCAGAGACACCACCCTCTCCCGTGTACCCATAATGCTCCATTTTCCTTTTGGTTTTGGTTTTTCTAGGATAAGGTTTGTCTGTGTAGCCCTGGCTGTCCTGAACTCACTCTGTACACAAATTCAAAGATCCATCTGCCTCTGCCTCTCAAACACTGGGGATGGGACAGCTTGTCAGCTAAAGATCAGCAGGCCCCACCTGCAGCTCAAATCCTTGCCAAACTTCCTCTGTACCCCAGACACAGCTACTTCCTCTTTGCCAAGAGGAAATGAAAAAGTTGAATGAAAGACATGTTCTCTCTGAAACTCGAGGACAAGGAACAGATGGAGTTTCATTAAAGAAATGATCCCCAGAATGTCCCCGGGAGTCACACACTCTTTTCAACGTATTTTTATATGGGGGTCACATAGAGAGATCAGACGTAGAGTAACTTGGAGCAGTCAATTCTCCATGATGTGGGTCCTTTGGACCTAACTCAGGTCTCCATACTTCACAGCAAGTACCTCTAAAAACACTGCCCCCCAAAAATACATTTGTTGCTATTGTTTCTTCAAGACAAGGTTTCTTTGGATAGCCCTAGCTGCCCTGGAACTCACTCTGTAGACCAGGCTTCCCTCAAACTCAAGAGATCTGCCAACAAATACCTTTGCCAGCTGAGCCATTTCCCCAGCCTGATCTAGTCTATCTTTGACACCTCCCCGAGCCTTTGCTACCAGTTACATTTCTGGACAACACTGGCGTATCAAGGCCTTCCCTTCCTCAGTAAACCAAGAGAGTCAATCTTGCTCTATGTATACACTTAGACACCTAAGAGTCATTGGTGACACGGGTTTATAATACTAGCACTTAAGAGATAGAAGTCCGTCTGGCTGGCCCTACCTGGCTCTTTCAACAGCTCCTATCTCCATAGTCATCTCCCTGGAGTCACATCATACAGCTACTTCTGGACAGCTGTCCAAAGCAGGATCTACAAGTCTACACACATACAATCCAGCTTAGCTTCTAACCATCTAGATGGCTGCTCACAAGAGGTCCAGCTGTTCTTACTGCATTATGCTATTAGCACACATGTGCAATGTGATATCCACTCACCCTGCCCTGATGCAACCACCACCAATCCCACCCCACCCCATCTCAGACACAGGCACTAAACCACACTCAGAACTGAGTTTCTTCTTGTTTCTTCTTTTATTGCGGAAGGGATACAAGGTGGGAAGAGGTGTGACACTTCCTGGTGACACCAAGGACAATAGCAGCCAGGGTCAGGAACGCCACTGTGGCCAGGCCTAACCCAAGAGCCACAGAGGTTTGAGCAGAAGAGGTCCAGCCTTCCACAGCCTGGTCATTTGCCTTTCCAAGGAATATCAGGGGCCCTACAGTGACATCAGCTTCATCGGTCACTATGAAAGACCAGAACATGGAGAAGGGTTTTGTTTTGTGCTTAGTGCTAGAGAATCATACCAAAGTCCCCAAGCATGTTAGGCAAGAACCCTACTGATGAATCAGACTTCTAAGCCCCTCAGTGCTTCTGGGGAGTTGGGGGGGGGATTCTAGGCAGGGGCTCTACTGCTGAGCCATGCCCCCAGCCCCTCACTGGGGGATTCTAGGCAGGGGCTCTACCACTGAGCCACGCCCCCACCCCCTCTCTGAGGGATTCTAGGCAGGAGCTCTACCACTGAGCCTCGCCCCCAGCCCCTCACTGGGGGATTCTAGGCAGGGGCTCTACCACTGAGCCACGCCCCCAGCCCCTCACTGGGGGATTCTAGGCAGGGGCTTTACCACTAAGCCATACCCCCAGCCCCTC